TTATGCGCGCGTTTTGGCTGGAGAAATAGTATGTTATGTATACCATAAAATGGAGCAACGCAGTTCTCAGAAAATGCACATCTGCCTACATGGACTGACGTGTAAGCAAGCCGCACAAACATGATAAACTATCAATTTCTTTGCGGTGATCAGGACGCAAAAACCCATTGCTCAATTTTGTGACCCCTACTGTTTAGCGAATTGCAAACCTTAATTATCAGCGCTCAGTGTAGTGTGTTTTAGTTTATGCACAAACAGCTTTACAACCACTGCTGAAAGCCTAATTATAACCTTATAACCGTAATGAAAATTATATTCTATTTTTCTTCTTGTATTATAATTAACGCCCCTTTACACTTATGTTGGGCGAGTATGAATCCTTTTATGCGCATGTGGCAATCTGAAAATAACACGCTCACGTCGAACAAGATAAGAGAATCGCATATTGGCAAATAATGCAACGCTTGTCCGTATACACAACGGATTCTTAGCATATAGTCGAAGGACCTTTGAATATAAAATCGGAGCTGTTTTCATCTGAGAGGATTTTCAAGGACTTCATGATTCTTCATGAAACGAATTCATTATTCTCCTTCCAATTGCAAAATCATTCCGCTGCAGGATGCAGAAATTCCACTCCAGAAATTTTTAGCACTAATAACCCGTTTATACTCGTCGAAAACCCTGCATATGAATGAATAACATGCCCAAGTTTTATGTTTACTGAAATTCATATTTCATTATTTTCTGTCACTTTATAAAAATCTGGGATTGTTTTCTTCCGGCATTAAATGCGATTATAGCTACGTAACATCAATAGCTTGCCGATATAAACTGAAATTCACGCTTCATGTGACGGATAAATTAACTCAATGGTTTAATTTAATCGCCGATTGGCTAGCTCTATGCTTTTTGACGCAGCAATTAAAGGCAGGGGAGCGAAAAGAGAGTGTCCTTGGATCATGTCATTCAATGTTTTTAGTTTGATAATGTGCGTCGAAATGTAAATCTGCATTGAATTAATTGGTGCGCGCGCCCGCCGGCTTTGTAGATAACAATTCAATAAATTTTATCGCTTAGGCTCCCGAAGGAGGTTTGTTTTTCATTGGTTTTTAAGAATAAGCATGCAAACTGCAGGATGTCCCAACATATAGTGTATCACAAATATTAGGCTAAGACACCCACACGCCTGTTCATTCAAGAGACGGGTGCACATGTAATAACATGCGTCCACCGCACGTGGGCAACTGAAATAATCATCTCGTCAATTTACCGTGCTAGTTTATAACTACCTTTGGACATGCGGCTGCTTCTATTATTCCGTTTTCGTACCACATGCAAGGGTCAACATTTTATTGTTTCACGCTTCAACAACAATCATTTCATTGTGGGGGATTTGAAGCAAGTGCGCGCGCGCGGAAGAGGCCACATACTATACCAGAAGTTATAAGCTCCCGTGAAGTGCGCAATCTTAATTGTGTTTTAATCGCACCAACAAAAGTGTGCAATCACTCGATCACCTGTTGGGTTTCGGCACAAACGCGTGAAATCCGGATACACAAACCTGCGAAGTGGAGCTATAGTGTAATCCTGCATATCAAGAACCACAAAACAGTCGTTCAAGTACTTTGTAGTGGTGCGAATGCGTGGATGGTTGCCGAGTACCCGTATTAATTCTATTCACGTTCGATCTTTGTAGGAACGGTCAGCTGTACCAAAATTTGGATTTGTTTTCCGTCCATTGCGTTTAATTCCTTTGAATTTGGGCAGTTTGTTCCAGATGGTTGTAGTTGAGAGCTCTGAAACAAAAGTAAAACGAAAAATATCGCTAGTGGAAAACCGGCTTTAAGAGCTTCCGATATAGGGCAAAGTTTTTTTTACGCTACATTATAATGCGTTCGAAATGTGGCTTCCAGTTTTCATGTACATCCGCACGAAATGTAAAACTTCACCACAATTATATGCAACCCGAATATTTTCTGATCATTATAATTACTGCCAAACAATTGAAAGAAATCTGGATGTGGTTATACGTACGAGTGCTCACATGAGCTCAGGAGTCGCATCATAAATATCATCGCGCAGTAAATAGTTTATGGTTAATTAGTGCGGGGATTTGATTAATTAAAGCCTTAAGGGGGCCGATAATGCAAATATTTACCCCGATTTCGTTGCATGATAAGGGCCCAGTTATGAGTAATGAGAGCTACATATGCATGGTTATGTGTACAGAATAGGTTACGCTGAGAAAATCACAAAAACAAAGACGCAAAATTTACGGAATAGATAGCCAGCGCCAATGCTTTTGCGGAAGAACAATCATGTTGGCATGCAAACCGGAAAAGCAAAGCCGCGTTCGCAGCAAAAGATGCTACAAAGATAATTCGCAATGCCCTTACCATATATTGCAAATGCACGAACTGCCGAGCTGTAATCATTGTTGTTTAAATTAGAATCGTGTGTACAAATCACTTAAGACAAATCTTTAAATACTTTCCTTGTTTATGCAAAGTCAGCGGAGATAGTTTAGAGGTAGATAAGAGAGTGATCAATAGCGATTAAATAATAGTGTAGTGGCAAAGAGATACAGAGATAATAACGAATCGAATCGTCTGGCATTATGTATAGTAAAAAGACGTGATCAGTATTAGTCAGAAGATTTCCCCTTTTAAAATAAGTGTCATTTTCGCGATCATACAACGGTATTGTCTATTGATAGTGTTGATATTATATTAAGGATGTAATAATCATGAACCGTTGCTTTTGGGAAAATACTAAATACAAACTGCAAAGAAGGTCCGTGTATAGTTCTTTTGTAGATGCTTTCGTGTACGTTATAGATGTGAAGAACTTGTAACTGAATAGAATGGTGCATGGTTGACCTTGAAAACACAGAGAAGCACTTGAATGACTAAAAAAAATATAAAGAAACACCTAAGTTGACCTAACGATTTAGGTGAATTAGAACTCAGATCGTTATACGTCTCTTCCCATTCTCATTTAGTCTTATCGCACTGCCCTATTGTGGCATGCAACATAATTCTCCCTGCACACAGGCCATTAACGCACATTAAAAAAAAACTTAAACATTATTTTCCCATGCTTGCACTTAAAGTTGTCAAAATAGCAATTGCAATAAACACCTTAGGCAATTGCCGGAATTCTGCAATGAAGATAAAGTCTAAAAATCATTTCGCCGTGAGGAAGAATCAATCAGATATAGCAGAGGAGAAGTGTAAAACAAAAATAAATTGAATGGCAAGAAGAAAACAACACCATAAATGGAATAAAAAACAAGTCAGAATTGGCTCATATGTATTGAAAAAAGTAATATAGCCTACGCGATACCCAAAAATGTCTAAATTCTAACGAAAACAACACTTATATTTTTGAAATGTGCGCATAAATCTGACAATTGAATACATTGATTGATTTCGTATTATGGGGTATATCTACTAATATGCGCCTGAAATACACCTGAAATAATTATACAACCTCTACCATACGAAAATTATTTTATATAGGGCCTATAGTGATCGTATTTCGTTTCAAGTATATATATCCCTTTCTTCTTAGCGTAGAAACATAAGCTACGAATGTATTCATATAATAGCTTCAACTGTAGGGTAATAAACTAATGATGCTAACAAACTGTTGTATGCAATAACAAATATACCTCGCATCAAATGGGTATGCATGGTGTCACAACTGCCTAATATTAGCCAGCTGTCTATTTTAGGCAGTTGTTATACAACATTCGATGCGGGTTATTGGAATAGGCGGCCACGCTACCCATCAGTACAATCAGATCAATAACATGCAGAATAGTTTGAATATCTCCTCTGAAAGACAGTATAGGTACAGGTTTTTTTCACTCGCTAGCCATTTGGTAACAGTCAGCGCATTGCACGCCATAATTATCGGTGAAAGCTTGCATAGAAGATAGAAAGGAGGGACGATACATCGATATCGCTTATCCGGTAGCCAACAGCCCTGGTGCTTGATCAGGATAGCAGGTTTAGTGCGCGCATTCTTAACAGGAACGATCCGACCACAATATTTTTTTAGAAATTGAATCACGCAATTATTCATCACGCTGGCCATATTTGGTTGTGCATCGCTGATCATTGTTTTGGCTTTATAAATATATTTATGAGGGACAGCGTTAAAAAATAGAATCTAAAAAATGTAGACCAACCTACGGTAAAAATTCTTCTCGTTTGATCGCGATTAATGCTATCTTAAACAGACTTATGTCATAACGTAAATTAGCAAAGCGTGCGTGTGATTATCCCGCAATAGTTTTGTTCAAGTAGAAACAATCAATCTTAATTGACGTACAATCAAAGGAAAATATGTGAACGGCTGGCCTCAAATGGGATGAAAAATACCCTTCATTGGCATATTAAGTAACATCCCTGCACAGAATGTTAATATTGCACAGTTAAGATCGGTGTGGTGAGTTAGGAAGTGTTGTCCTTACACTTGGGTTCAGTATTCTAACAGATTAATAGGTGGTTGGCATTGATGTGGGCATATAGAGCATTATACCATCTTACTGACAAAATTCTTCTATTGAGAGCGCGTACGATTACATTTTTTCGTTTCGATGACACACTTGGTAAATAACATTGCTCCACAATCTTTAAAGATTTTGAAATTAAAAAAATTCTGGCGTGGTCACAAAGATTGTGTGCGCACAATGATGCGCTTATCAATTGTTTGTGATAATGATCACATGTGTTGTGAAATTCACATGGCATTTGCTATGAAACGTTAAAGTCTTTTTATAGCAGCTTATCGCTGCTGCTCGCATGATCTAACTTCCCAGCAGCTTGCGTTAATTTCTTAACAATTTTTGCTATAAGTGTTATCGTGCCCAAACCATGTTTGCTTCGTGTGAAAAAAACACCAAGAGCAGAGCAGCATCGTAAATCGATCCCCTGGTGTTCATCTTTGAGGTTTAATGTTTCTAATTGCTTATTAAAACTTACTATTATAACTTACGCACGAGGATATTTGCTGTTAAAGATTCAATTTCCTATCAGAATAGATCGGGCAGATGTCGAAATAAGGGTTTGACAGATTGGCGCACCTATAAAGGCCTTTCTTCGATGATCAAAGATTCAGTTAACAGCGAGTGTCACGAGCATCACTTAGCTTGTGAATTTCCGTCCAGTTTTAAAGTTTCGAATTGATAGACGGTGTGAAAGCAAAGAAAAAAAATGAGCGAACATCGCCGTTCGACAAAAGAAACCGCCCTGCTTCTCCTATTTCTTGCTGCAACTGTGTTCAGCATTGATGGCCTGTGTTGGAACTGCTTGCCAAATAACTTGTCCGTGGAAGAGATCGACAAGATTTTCGCAGAGGATTTTAAGGAGCGCTTAATGGAGAAGCTTGGTCTCACGAATGAGCCAGTTGTGCCTGAGAATGTTACACGCCCACCGCAAGAGGTAGTGGATGAAATACTCTCCGAGCAGGATAACGTTGTTCATAAAAAAGATAAAGAGATGTTGCAGACAATTGTCATTCAACCGCTCAACAACGGTGAGTTCTTGTTCTTCAAATTTAAATCCTTATAGCATACAAAATATTAGCTACAGGCAATATTAATTAGGGAACGTAGGTATGCCAGTTCGTAAGCAGGTTCTTCAAAGCTGCGCTCTCTGATTAGATAAAATTTCCAGACGGAAAGGTCTTCGCTCCGATCGCGTGAAACGTTCAAATTATCGTTGTATTTTCAGGTCAACCAGCTAATGACACCCGCCGTATAAATAGTAACCTGGTAGTGGAAGATTGAATAAGGCATCATTTACCTCTGCAATAATACATCCCCTGCTGAATGCATTTTGAGTATGATACCCAGTAATCCTACTTAATTCCAATCAAACTGATTTCATTCACTGTCTCAGGGGATCAAAATTGGCTCGAGATTTGAATTTCAGGGTCGCATGTGTGACAGCTTAATAATTTTATATGGCCTTTAGGATTGTCGATCCTTCATAATACGATAAGCAGTCTTCCTAAAGTGCGAGGTCAGGATTTATTGCAAATTGAAACATGAGAACATGCGACTTGTCGATCAGGAATTCGTATAAATGACATGCGTGAAATCATAAAGACTGGTTTAAGATTTAAACCTCGCCTTGGCATCTTCTATGCAGTAATTCGTTCCGCAAAATATGATATACAATGTCAAATGTATTCAAATCTATGGCAATAGGAAATGGAAGTGCCACGTAGCGGCAAATAAAATGACTTGGGGGTTAGTTGGCTACAAGCCGATTTATTTCACGCTAAGCAATTTTGCCATATAGTACGAGTAAAAAAAAACAGCGTTGACCATAATAAAAATCCTTGCCGAACATTCGGATTTCTTAATAGACTCATTGCGGTATAAAAATAACATTCTCGACAATTTTTTATATTTAACGAGAGAGAGCATTACATAAAGTATTGCGTGGCGATGTGTTGTGAAATTAAAGTTCTGAAACATTAGTTTTACACCGCAGACTTTGATGCGGTTTTTCAGAAAAGAGTATATCAATTTTCACCGCGTAATAGAAAAGTTTAGCCTACGCGACGAAAACTCCGCAACGAAACCACATTTTAATCAATTTGCCTTCGCAATTTTCAGCAATGGTAAATCATTGACACGATTTGCCTAATATCAAATTTTTGTTTTATACACCACGGATTCGTCGAGGTGCTATATAGGAGTGTCTGATTAAAAGGAAATTTGGGCGAAACAACTGCCAACGTAGACATAGTCATAGTGTTCATTTCGTCACAATTTTTCTGAAGCCAATTGTCGCTGAGCGTAAATAGTTTGGATTCACTAAAAAACTGCATCGACTGTAGCAAAACCTATGCCTTTAATATTTCTCAATATTAAATGTACTATAGTTTATACAAAATAGCGACATACTGCCAGACATTCTTAAATTTTAGGCGGATTGTTTCACAGTCAGTTTCCAAGTGTGCAGTTTATACTCATATAATAAAATCAATCCTTGTAACCATTTATATACAGAATATCCCATAACACTTGCAAATTTTCAAGAAAGAGGATAGGGGGTCAGAATCTAATCAATGTCTGCTCCAAGAATTATTCGAATTGATTATTGTTTTCGTTTCGACTAACTACGACTGAATAAATAAATTAGAAAGTGTATTAATGATATTCTTATTCTTCACATGTATATAAGACCTTGAAATTTGTAACTCACAGTTTGAAGCATGCTTGAATTTTTTGCTTGGCTACATGCAACACATACACCCTTGTCACCCTTATTTGTAAACAAGCGTTTAAAACGTTTTTGTAAATTGGGAAAACTAAAAATATATAAACTTTAATGAACATATTACGTGTATTTGCGTTACTCAATGGGTTAAACTCTGGCCAAAAGTGGTTGCGCTCTTGACGCTTTTAAAGTTTTACACACACTTTAAACAGGAGCTTCAAAATTAGCAAGAAAGATTATCTTTCTGCGTTTAAGACCGTATGCATGCACCACACGCACCCTTGTGTTATTTGTAAACAAGCTAATCATCGAACAAGCCCCATGTGGGTTTATTAGCATGTGATAATTAACGACAGGCGCGATGTAGGGCCTAAAGTGAAATTGAAATATTGTACACGTCCGATTTCACGCCATTCCAGGTTTTTGCGGCGTGGGGAGGGGAGAGGGTGGACATTTGAGCGGACTCGGCCAACTGAAATAATGTTGTTTTTTTGTCACTGCACTGACATTTTCTACCAACCGGAACCGCGATTAAATTAAACGATTGCGGTATAACTGAACACACCATTCTCTTTATTTTCGACCAAATAGACGCACTTTTAGGCTTGTTTGAACACTGGCGAATCTACCTTATTATGTTATATGGTGTCTATACTGGTCAGTACCGAACTTGAGTGCCATACGTTCCTTACTGTTTTGTGAAAGTGTTTTTACTTGTGAAAAAACAGCATAATATAATAAACACAATTCAAACTCAATTTATATTAATGTTCCAGATTCCGTGGTGTCGAACACGACCTCCTATTTCGAATACGCAACTGACATAGATAGGTGGAACCGCATTGATCATGTCACGTTGTGGATGCACGTCGAGGCAAACACGGGTGTTTACAGAGTGTACGAAAAAATATCCACTTCACCACGACGTATGGTAATTGTGGACGAACACGAAAGCGATGTTTCCCAATGGAAAAAACTGAATTTCGTACCCAACAGACAGTGGTTGGAGAAACCATGGGGTAGGAAAATACGTATCGAAATTGAAGGGATTGAAACACCGATCGCGCACAAGCCACTTCTCCAGTTAAAAGTGAAGCCAGTGATAAAACGCCATAGAAAACGCTCAGTCGTCAGCACAACGGTGAACCCATCGGTGAAGGCGACCGTCACGGACGACTGCATTCCGAAGAACTTGGGCCTTTGCTGTAGGCATACTAGAAATATTGATATGTCGAGTTATTACCCATGGATCGTCGTGCCCAATCCATTCCGATCATTCACATGTTCGGGAACTTGTACTCTCAGACACAGAACCAACAACACGTGGACTCTCCTAACGCAAATCACGAACGTGCGACAACCGTGTTGCGTACCAACTAGCTTTGACACAGCGACTCTTTTGATCTATGACGGCACAAGCACAACGTATAAAACCAAGATTATAAACGATCTGCTAGTCACAAACTGCGGTTGTACTTGAACAAGGACCTCAAAGATTGAGCGACGGTACCGGCGTCGTTAAACCGCATAGGAACGCGCACGTTGTATTTCAGTTTTGTTATGGATACGGGTTAGAACAGTCTGGTTTAGTTAATTTGATAAGATATAATTGGGCTTAGACAAGGTAGTGTGGATTATATCGTAAAACAACCGTATAAAAGACACTGCATGGTTGTCATTGGGGTTTTTTGGGTCGATTTCATTCTCGTATGGAAAATTGTTTAATTGTTGCAATAACACTATATTTCGTGTTTCGTGCATGGTTTTCCTGTTCTGCCTAAGCCGACTTTTTTTCTGCGAAATGATATCAGGTTTTAACATCTTAATATAGTGCATTACCGTTACGTTTACCGTGGAAACGGGCTATTTTTTGACCGCATGCATAATCCATGCTGGCTAGTTGTAGTTGTTTGAACATTTTCTAATATATATCGTCAACGCGTCAACTCGCGTGGAGTGGCATTTTGTTAATAGGGGTGTTGGTGATTAACTCGGTACTTTAAAGGTTTTCTCACTTTACCAACTCTTAGTACGTATAGTTTTATTAGCCAAAATGCATATGACTGTAGATAGCTATTACATGTTCATTCGGTAAAACCGATGAACTATTTGAAAGGAATATATAAAAAGGCATCACAAATTAATGTTGTCAGGCATATTGCATGTTTGCTTTTAAATAACGTTCATGTATACGCTAAACAAAACGTCATTCTATTCGCTCAAGATCACGTCTTTTGTACGAATCTCAGCAAGGAGCTCGCGTGTAACTAAATTGACGTGGTGTTGAGAGAATAGATTTTATTTCGTTGATAGATTCAGTGTAGTATATAATAATGACTTAGGAGCATATATATATATATATACATATATTGTATATTACCTCTTCAATATTTTTATGCGATGATAGTGTTAATTTTCTCAAAAATGTTTAAAACATTTTGTGGGTTTGGAAAACTAATGATGTTGTAATGAAATGAATAAACTTTCATTAACATATCACGTGTGTTCGTTTTACTCAACAGGTTAGGCTCTCGCCAAAAGTAGCTAGTCGCGCCCTTTCAGGTTTTCATTTGTTACATGCGCTACACAAGGCTGCCAAAAAATTAGTGAGAAAGATTTTCCTCCTGGCATTCTTGCTTATCCGGCTGGTTTATGTAATATTTGTTTATTGATGCGGTTTGCATACAAAAAGCATATGCTTTTAATTTAGCCTTGCTTTCCTTGCTAAGCCTTGCTTTCATTTAATAGCAACTTTCGTGAGCATGTCAAGGTGGTTGATGTAATGGAATACTCCTATACGTATAGGGCAACAATAACCGCATTTATATATCCGGCCATGTTGAAATAAGGTAACAACGGATGAGTTTGCTGCACACATATAAAGTAAAAGGTCCAAGGCCACGAGATACTTGCATGGGATCCATTCGTGTAAATTAACAGAAAATATCTTTCTCCGTTAAGTTTAATTATATTTCAATGTTATTTTTGGATGTAAACTTTATTTAAACACACCCGGGTTACAACATATTATATAAGTTACAGCAATTTCATGATCACTTAATCGTTTGCATAGCAGCTGCTTTACTGAAAACGATGTTTTCAAATTTTACGAAGAAAAGCTGCGTATACATTCACATTTGCCAGCATTCAATACTTTATACACATTTTTTTGTCAATACAACACAAAGTGAGCAATATGCTTCTCGCGAAAGAAAAGCTCTGAAACAATTAGGCGACATTCTTTCCCAACAAGTGCACTGTGACAATTAAGTATTAGCTGTACGATGATAGAATTGCTAAATAATTCGCTTTTATAATTTTGCTATATAATTTATTTTTATAGCTATATTTGTGATAATTGTTAAAAAACTATAAAAGTACTGAACAGATTCCACGATTCTTACTCTAATAGTAAAGAGGATTCTTTAAACTGTGGCCACATATTGGCCGAGCGATAATCACCTGCATGAGCGGATTTTTCAAAATGGCGGCGGGTCGGGAAGATGAAGAAATAAGTAAAAAAAAAACAAAAGCACAAGGGGGGCAAAAGAAATTGGATATTACAAAATTTTGGTTGTGTATATGGCTCTGTATATATCACTATATAGGCCCGCAGTTCTCACACAATCGACCCGGGCCAACTAAACTATATAAGATTATAGACAACTCCATATATAAGATTAATTGAATGTTTTAAAGTAAGTGTTATTCTCTTAATTCGTAGTTCGTGCATTTACCACAACAGAGGGTTTCAGACTTCTTCCTATTGTGCGGCTTACGCTAATAGTAGGGCTCGCAAGTTGATGACCCTTTACGGTTAATTAGATTTAATTAGACGATATCAGATTTTCTTTTTTTTTATTTTTTGGAAATGAATCGAGACAGCAGTTTTATACAACTTGTGGTTTGGAACAACTTTTTTGGCAGGCAATAACATTTTGGACTCTCAATTTCCCTTTTCCGCTAATTAGATTAATTAGCCATCTGACTGGTTTTATTAAAAGTTTCAGCATGTTTGTGGGTCTAAAGAAAGATCTCGACCTTGTGCAGTATGCCAGTATCCGTTTTTATATAGCGAACCCCCCTTCAGTAATACCCAATATTCAATAACATGAACGGACAAGTTCATTGTTATTAGAGTGTGGTTTTCAACTGTTTTTCCTAAAATGCATGGAAGTCATGTGACAAAGGGTTTGTTTACATTTTGAGCCTCAAATACTCTTCAAATACGATTACTGTCTGAATATTAAGCTCTATTTACTCTTGTCTAAATTAACAACACTATTTACCTTTGCTACGCTTCTAAATGAATATGAACTAGAGCTTATGTTAAGAGAAAATAATCGAAATTTCGGCAATTTTTACATCAAATTAAGGGTCCTCACATTGTTGTGTAAGCGAAACAATTACCGATGCGCAGAACGACTTGACTTTCACTTCAATTAAAGTACATGAAGTAATGGCTGAGGTGTAAACTACGTTTGTTATATTTCCTATGATTGTTTTATTGTTTTACCCTCTCAATTATCTCTGTATATCGAAGCAGAATTAATATATGGAAAAAGTTCTATAAGCTAATGCTAAAGGTTAAGTATCGAAATGCCTGAGTTATAAAGATAAGTTGATATGTAATAGTGAAAACAACGAATGTTTTTGTTTTTTGGTGGATATAGTGAAACCTATTGAGAGGGTGCATTCAACTTCGGGAATGCTCCAGAATTAAAGAGAATTATAACGCACGCATCATCCTTCACGTGCAAGTCATCATGTTAATAGCTGGATAAACGCATGCAGACGGATATGTTTATCGACGCATATAATAGAAAGCAGATGAGCAGCGAACGAGTGACCCCAATTTTAAACAAATGACTGAACTTTTTTCCTCTTGGAAATATTACCTTATTTCTCTGGTGCATTCATACTCAAACGTCCTTTGATTTAAACCGGCGTCGATATAATTTTACCCGGAACTAAACTGCGTCAAAATAGTGGACAAAAGTGGACATTGCCGCATTCTTCATGGTTGCATAAATATTTTCATTATCTAGTTGAAGTTTCCGATATTTAGATAATCGATGTAATGCAGCTTATTTGAATAAACGAAGCTAATAGAGAGCATATACATTTAAACGATAACCGACGATATAGAACCGAATTTAGTGCTGGGAAGGTATTAGGTAAAAATAGAGGTTTTAGGTAAATATTCTTTTAGATGCTGGTGCGCAAGAATTATAATTGAATATCAGGTCATTATCATCAAAAATTCTCTTAATTTGCAGGATGAATATAACTCAGTAGGTTGGGCCATTTAACTTTGCTGCCATGCATAGGAAGACTTATAAGTTGCACAATAAAATGTATTTGCTCTATAGCCAATCCAATTTGGATATCGGAAGATTCAGCCTTTATCAGAATTTCGACCAACTTATAAATCCGACCTCGACGCTGCTTCGAAATCCGGTAATAAAAAAATCGTTAGAATGCGTGCATATAATGCGTTATGCAGGGGTATATATGTCAGGGGTTAAAACAATGAAAACAATGATCAAATGCCAAGGCTGCCGTGCAGATGGGCTAAAAAGGTAGCCAAACATGCGTCTTCACTGGTACCACAAAAAAAAAGAAAAAAAAAAAAGAGCTATATATAAAAACAATGGGCTATATATAAAAACAAAGGACGATGACTACTTTATCCAAGTAAGGAATCAAACGTAGTTATATTACTACGTGATGAGATCAATTGTGGGAGCTAGATGAACATATGACTTATAATTTTAACATCATTCTAGTAAGAGCTATACATTTCATTTTTATCGTTATTGTGATTTCCGTACAGCATTAACTTTGATTAAGATAAGAGCATTAGATCAATATCCTTTACTGAGTATGTAAAATTTACTATATTATTAACATCGGATGTCAGTGCTAACTGACTGCATGCACAATGCTATGTATATTAAACTGTTTTTAAAAATGCCAAATATAGGGCAAAAGAAACAGGTGATTAATTCATCAACTTTTGATTTTTGCTTCGAACCGCATAATGCTAACAATGGCAATATATTGGCGCCAACCCGTCTGGTTTCTATAGGCCAAGATATTTCCATATGTTTTCTTATTCTCTATACTCGCATTCTCTAAGTTTTGTAAAAAAAAACGATACCCCCTGTCGAATTAAAAAAAAACAATTGGGAAAAGTACTTGGCTAACGCACTATACAGTTTATTGACAATGATCGATACGTTGACAGTCTATACTCCAACTTTTTTTTATCATAGCTAACATGCATAGCTACATAATGTATAAATTATGCTTATATAAATGACATTCAGCCGAATGCCATGTATTATATGTCGACAGTCATCGCCAATTAGACGTAAACGAATTTAATTACAAGGAAAAGCGGTCGCAACAAAGTGGCAATTAATTGTTGATGAAATTAAACAACTCACCAAACTGATTGCTGTCAGGAATTGGGAAATGATACTTCTTAACCATGCATGTGGACAAACGCATATAGCCTACCGGTCTTGTCCTTTTGTGCATGATTTCACAAGATACTGAACATTTTGCGAAAGATGCTAATACAATATTTTATTTTCAGAAATAGGGTTTTTGCCCACCTAATATGAGGTCATGTATTGGTCGACTATAATCTCACCTTCACTGGCCTTTTCTTTCTTCTCTTCGTTATTTACAATTACTGAAAATTAAGCGTCTCAATCTCAAGTACATACATATGTTCAAAGTGAAAGAACATGAAGAATGTTCCAGAACTGTTAGAAAGTTTCTTAAATCATCTACAGTGCACAGTCAAGTCTGAAAATTATTATGATAATTAATTTCTTTAGAAATTTATTGTTTTCACATTCACTGAACACCAAAATATTGGCATAGCGGGACAAATAGTCAGGCTGGCTATGCTATTGATAGTGCATGCACCATGGGTGCGTATCAGACTTCTTCCTTACTTTGATCGTTAAAATTTATCGCTCTTGCCGTGATTCCTACTACGGCAACAAACGACATTCATTCACACAATAAGCAAATTTAATCAGAACCAATGAAAATTTCTCCTGACCTATTCACACTGCATCATTGCATGCATGTAAGTTTCTGCATGCATAAATTGTCGGACCGAGTGAGTCATCTATAGTCTTGAGAGTTTACTATGTAGGACTTAAGTTCAATTTCGCAAGCAGTAGCGTTGTTTATTGAGGTATAGTTGAGTGGCGGTCAACATAAAAGGAAAATATTTCGTTATCGTAACGACGTAACCCTATATCTGGGATGGCACTAATGACAGCCCGACGATCCTTTGCCAAAATGAAACTATTTAACTAGAGACACTGTTATTATACAATTAATTTTTATAAAATTATTAAAAAATTCTTCGTATGAA